AGATCAAAAGAAAAAAAATTATAGATATGATACATAGACTAGCAAGTAGTAGTTAGTTACAGGCCACACATATTGCCAAATGGAATGATTTACCATATCTATTCAGCAAATGTTCATAATTTACAACTGCGTTGTTTCTCCACAGATTCCATCCACATTCTAGCCAACTTGCTATGTCTTACCTCCACACTGTATTTAGTGATATAAGAGTAGATCTCGCTTAAAGCGCTTAGCATATTAAACTCTGATGCATGCATACGAGATTGCTCTGCGAGGTAGGCATTCATATCTTGATCACTAATGGCTGGGAGCTTGGCAATGTCAGCATAATATCTGAAAAACACAAGTTATAATATAAAACAATTGACTTACTGAGTTTTGGTATAAATATATCCAGTAGATAATAGGAATAATTTATTTTAATTTAAAAAAAACACCATTGTGGTACCAGTGGTGATGCACACTGACCTTTCAACCCAGTTCTTGTAATTGGGAATATCCTTTGCATACAGCAGCTTGTTGCTAGGGGAATCTTTTCCGAGTCGATGCTCTGAGGTGGAACAAGAGTCCATGAATGTCTGTGCCACAACAGACAGACATGCATCTGTGATACTACCCTTGTGTATGTCAAACACAAACTGAGGGTTCTTAATAACGTTCACCCAAAACCGAAGTGGTAGGCTGTTTAGACAAAAAAAAGACAAAGTTTCATTAATGGGTTCATATTCCATAAGCCGTTTTCCCTTTCTTCCCATCACCTGTTTTAAGTTTCATTAATGGATTCATATTCCATAAGCCGTTTTCCCTTTCTTCCCATCACCTGTTTTAAAGAATGGTCATACTTTTTTATTGCCGTTCATTGCTTACTTATTACATATTTTCCATTCCTTTGTACTTACCAGTTGCTTTTCCATGTGTGTCTAACATCAGTATCATAGATGCCATGTCTGTCTGCCTGTTCATCTAGGAAGTCAAACATATACTTGATGGCAAGAGGCAGTGCACTCCCACGATGCACTGTACTGAACAATGTTTCAAACAAATCATCCACAAATTTTTGCAGTGTTCCCTATAGGACAAAATAAATTATAAGTGAGGGTTTCATGTTCTATATTGCTATTTTGTCATTTTTTTTTCAGATTTTCATAACTTTTACATTTTGCTATTTTAACCTACTTAGATTTGATTATATGATATTTAAAGATGAACCCTAGGAAAACAGCTGAACGAATGATTGCAATACATATTTAGAAGCTGTTTTATCTGCCAGAGATTTGTAATTCTGTAGAGTCAGCCCTGAGTTTTATAAAGCCCTGCCACAAGCACTGTTAAGTTGGTGACCATAATTATCTCTAGTTTAATAAGAGAGTGTTAGGTTAAGCAATACACCTATGTGCCCCCATCCTGAGAACTGACAGCCAAGAAGAAGCAGAATGATGAGCTCATCACTCTGCACTCTCTTCCTGTCAGAATTTATGCGGTTCAATCAGATGGCCTATATCCTTACTTTGTCCTGTATTGACTTCAGATATTTGGTTTTTGCATGTTTATGCACTTTATTATGCACTTTTATGCATTTCTTTCAATTTGAGTCAAAAATTTGGACGTGTCACCTATTAGTCCGTTTTTGGTACTAAATTTATATATTCCTGTTTGTTCACACCATCACTTTGGATCCTAATTTAGGATTCATGCACACATATATCATACGCTTATTGTATTGGTTTATAAATGTCTGCAATTACCATCACTGAGGTGGTGCAATATTCACTATGTACACTTTTGGATCCATTGAGGATCGGTTCACCATTATATATTTGTAGATCCCTGGAGGACCAGGTCACTGTTTATGTTTTGTTGCACATTGTGTCACTTTATGTACTTTTATATACTATTTAAGTCTAAAGTATTAGTTATATTATCATCAGAGTAGCGTTGCATCATTCCCTTTATTTCATTCATTATTGATATAATCGCTTTAAAGAGTTACGTAACTCCCTGGGATAACTGTGTATTAATATAAAAGCAACAGTGTCTAAATTATTCTGGATTTGCATTTTCCAGCCAAATAGTAGAATACATAGTTGAAAGTTATATTCATGAGTAGGTTTAAATAAAGCAAACCAAAATATCTATGTGTTATTATACACTTTGCATACCTTAGTGGCCAGAAGCCGCGTCAGATAAATTTCAGATACCATCTTGCTCCCCCGGTCACCCTCCTTCTGATCTCCATGCTCATGGTTTTTTACCAGATGCCATACTTTAACACCACTTTCTAGATCCGGAGTTATCATGGGAGCACGAGACCGGAGACTATCAGGACTGCCAGTATATCGGAATGTGGAGTCTGTAAGAGAGATATGTTTTAAGATACTAATAAGTAAATTGGTATAATCCTGGTGAAAAATTCACTTCAACGTCAGATCTGGTAAGTCTAGAAAATGATTATCTTATTTTGTCAATATTTTTGTTGGCTAAAAAAAGATCTGTTTGGTATTATTTACCATATAATACTATCATATAATTACCCCTCCAAATCATAGGATTCAGGTTTTTCAATCATCTCCATGGCCACAGGTGTATAAAATCAAGCACCTAGGCATGCGGACTGCTTCTACAAACATTTGTGAAAGAATGGGTCGCTCTCAGTAGCTCAGTGGATTCAAGTGTGGTACCGTGATAGGTTTCCACCTGCGCAATAAGTCCATCCGTGAAATTTCCTTGCTACTAAATATTCCACGGTTAACTGTTAGTGGTATTTTAACAAAGTGGGAGCAGCTGGCAACAACAGAAACTCAGCCACCAAGTGGTACAACACGTAAAATGACAAAGTGGGGTCAACGCATACTGGTGCGCACAGTGCGCAGAACTCACCAACTGTCTGCAAAGTCAATAGTTAAAGACCTCTAAACTTCGTGTGGCCTTCAGATAAGCACAACAGTACATAGAGAGCTTCATGGAATGGGTTTCCATGGCCGTGCAACTGCATCCAAGCTTTACAGCACCAAGTGCAATGCAAAGTGTCAGATGCAGTGGTGTAAAGGACTCTAGAGCTGTGGAGACGTGTTCTTTGGGGTGACTGATCATGCTTCTCTGTCTGGAAATCCAATGGATGTGTGTGTTTGGCAATTGCTAGGAGAACTGTACTTGCCTGACTGCATTGGGCCAAGTATAAAGTTTGGTGGAGGGGGGATTATGGTGTGGGGTTGTTTTTTAGGGGTTGGGCTTGGCCAATGTAGGTTCCAGTGAAGGGAATTCTTAAGGCATCAGCATACCAAACATTTTGGCCAAATTCATGCTCCCAACTTTGTGGGATAAGTTTGGGGATGGCCCCTTCCTGTTCCAACATGACTGTGCACCAGTGCACAAAGCAAGGTCCATAAAGGCATGGATGAGCAAGTTTGGGGTGGAGAAACTTGACTGGCCTGTACAGAGTCCTGACATCAACCTGACAGACCACCTTTGGGATGAATTAGAGTGGAGACTGTGAACCAGGCCTTCTCGTCCGACACAAGTGCCTGACCTCATAAATGCGCTTCTGGAAGAATGGTCAAACATTCCCATAGACACACTCCTAAACCTTGTGGACAAACTTCCAGAAGAGTTGAAGTTGTTATAGCTGCAAAGGGTGGGCCAACTCAATATTGAACCCTACAGACTAAGAATGGGATGCCAATTAAAGTTCATGTGTGTGTAAAGGCAGGTGTCCCAATACTTTTGGCAATACAGTGTGTGTATATACAGTATATATGTATATATATATATATACACACACACACAGTGTTCAGCGTAAATGAGTACACTCCAACAAAATTGTCAGAAAGCATTTACTTTCCTTTCAGAATCAACATTTTCTATAGCAGGGCTTGAAAAAGCTGCTTGCCCGTTTGCCAAATGTGAGGAGAAATTCCTCTGTGGCGAGCGGCTAGCGGCTGTGAGCGACGAGCACAGATGAAGCATGGAGCGACTGCACCTGCGCTCCAAGCCTCATTGTGAAGCCGAGTTCTGGTTTACAACTTCCGGTTTCCGGCTTCTGCGGCACCGCCACAGATGGGACAGGTGCAGGAAAGGTCCGCTCTCCTCCACTGAAAGGAGATACCCTCTCCACTGCCGTGGGGAACTTGGGGGGACAGTAAGTACTGTATACAACATGTCCTATCACTATAATGGAGTACAGGGGAGCTGGGATATACATTACTGTGTACATGTCATATCACTATAATGGCGTATAGGGGAGCTGGGATATACATACTGTATACATGTCATATCACTATAATGGAATACATGGGAGCTGGGATATACATTACTGTAAACATGTCATATCACTATAATGGCGTACAGGGGAGCTGGGATATACATACTGTATACATGTCATATCACTATAATGGAGTACATGGGAGCTGGGATATACATTACTGTATACATGTCATATCACTATAATGGCGTACAGGGGAGCTGGGATATACATACTGTATACATGTCATATCACTATAATGGAGTACATGGGAGCTGGGATATACATTACTATGTACAGTTTTATATTTTGGACTATTTATTCTAAAGAAAAATGTAATTTCATAAGCTTTAAGGGGGCGTGGTTGGGGGCGGGCGGGGGTTGGGGCAGACCGGGTGTGGGGCAACTGGTGGAGAGTAAGTTTTGTGACCGGCTAGTAGGTCTGGACTTGAAATTTTAACCCCTGTTCTATAGGACACCATACTACAAAATACTCCCACAAATGTGAGCAATTGATTGCAAACAAGATTTGTTCATTTGCACACACAAAAAATATTTTGCCTAACAAATTCATTCAAGACCATGCTGCAAAAATGAATACACCCAAAAGAAAGTCTTAGGAGCAAAGCTAACATTTAGATAACAAAATCCTAATTAACAAGAATTCAAACATAGATGAGTCTAATTATTCATTAAACAGGTATCCAGCAGACAGTGGATTATAAAAGGGCATTACTTAACAAAGAAAACCCCTTCCCATTTCAAGCTGTCAGCAATGGCACCACATGGAAGAGAAATGTCACAAGGCCTGAGAAAGAAAATTTATTTACACAAGAAAGGTGAAGGCTACAAGAAGAACAGCAAAGCTTTAGTTATCACTCAGAATACTGTGGCAAAAGCGATACAAAAATTTAACAAAGATGGAACTGCAACCATCTCACAGAGTTGTCCAGGCCGTCCATAAAAGTTAACACTTCCACAGGAGCATCTTGAGATGAGAAGGGTTGAAGAAAATTACAATGGAAGTGCACTGTGTAGCAATCGTGCACACAGACATGGATGCGGTCATCCGTTTTGCTCCAAACCCCTCCATCTTGTATCTCTCTCTCCCAAATCAGATTCCTCCGATATCCCCCCCTCCCTCTCTGTTGAGTGACATGTGGTCTGTTTGATGCAGAGATCACAGGCAGCAAACTCACTGGGAGGGCATCATGGCTATAAATCCCAATTAGCTGGTGCCCATATGTCTGTGAGACTCTTGCTTGGAAAGAGATCGTAAAGCCATAAACCAAGTCCCTCGCTGAGCCTCAAAGACATTCCAGATAAGCAATAAAACAGACATCACATTCAAGACCCACTTCCCCTATGATTACATATCTTGGAATATGAGAGACTTACATAAAAACCAGGCAGATATTCAACCCAGTCACTTTAATACAAGTCGTCTAATATCACCCCCTATCTGACATATACAAGAAAGCCGAAAATGATATCTCCTTAACCGTCACAACAGGTATGTCATATTTCATATGTAGACATTCAGCAGAAGATTCTGCGTATTAATCTACTTGTGGATAGAATGTTATATGTATCCAGGGTAAGTTATGAACCATGACATCAACTGGGAGGGTTTTTGGTCATAGCTTGGGTCTCCGCCTGCAACACCCGCCCAAATGAGGCGATTGGTTCTCTGCTGCAGGGATACACCCTGGTGAGTTCCTAGAAAAAGCTAAGCTAAGCTGAGTTGAGTGAAGTTGAAGATTCTCCCTTTTAACATCGGAACTAACTTTGGAAGATAAGGTATCCTTTTGGCTCAGGGAACCTGATCTGCTTAAACCAAGGCTGACGACAAGTACCTTATCCCTCTAAACTTCTGTTATCTCTTTGCTGTGCTATTGCTCTCTGTATATTTATATATATATATTGGCTACATCGTTTTCTGTAAATATTTTTATTGCACCCTTTTAACCTTTTAGTAATAAATCTTACTTTCTGAAAGTGTTGAACTGTTTCTAAAGCTCTTTAATGCAAACTAAGAACCCCTGCCTCTGAAGGGCGCTACTGTGTGTGTGTTTTAAGCTTCGGTATATCTCTGCCTGTGGTGACAGTGGTATACCGACGCTTATGCAAACATCATAGTGTTATTGCTGATATTGCCGAGTTTCCTCTTTCTCTGTACAAAAAGGAGGTGGTGGCAGTGTGAAGGGTTAATTGCGTAATTAACCTGACCCAGTTAACAATCGCTTTTAGGCTGCAGGTACACAGATTGTGGTCCATTAGCTGGAAAATCTTTGTGCAGGTGCAGCTGGGCGTGGTATTGTTACGCACGTGACAGCGTGGTTTTAGATTGGCTAGTCCTTCGGTCACGAGTTTGGTGAGAAGGGCTGGGGTCTGACGCCACGATCATCACACACTGTAGTTAGCTAAAGAAGTAGAAAGCCAAACTGGGGTGATTTTTTCACATGACACAATATGGCGTATACTGCAGCGGAATGACATGCATAGGTATCGTCCACAAAGGAAGCCTCTCCTAAAGCCCACACACAAAAAAGCCCAGCAAGAATTTGCCAGGGCTCATGCTGAAAAAGAAGAGGACTACTGGGAATCGCAAAGGTGAGGAGCACAAAGAAAAATGCATGATGCCTACAGTGAAACAAGGTGGTGGAAGTGTCCCTCTGTGGGGCTGCATGAGTGCTGCTGGAGTCAGGGAGCTGTATTTCAGTGATTGTATCATGAATTCACAGATGTACTGCTCTGTTTTGAAAGAGAAGATGCTGCCATCACATCATGGGCGTTGTGCACTTTTCCAACATGACAATGATCCAAAACACACATCGAAGGCCACTGTTGCATTTCTGAAGAACAGGGTGAAAGTTATTCAGTGGCCAAGCATGTCTCCTGATCTGAACCCAATCGAGCACCTTCGTGGAATTCTGAAGATACAAGTTGAGCATTACTCTCCATCCAGCATCCAGGCTCTAAAAGAAGTTGTTCTTGAAGAATGGAAAAAGATAGAGGTTGCAATATGTCGCCAACTTGTTCATTCCACGCCTACAAGACTCAGTGCTGTCCTTACAAATCATGGAGGTCATACAATATACTAGATGTAGTAGTTTTTGTTGTGGAGTGTATTCATTTTTGCAATAACTAATTTGAGTAAAACTGAAGATTTTGTAATCTAAGTTATAATATTAACCTTACTTTCATGTACTGAGCTAAACAAATGTTCTATAAAACTCAGTTTTGTCAAAATTTTGGAAAATGTTCTTGTGTTCATTGAGATATTGATTAAAATCTTACTTTTCAAAAAGGGTGTACTCATTTATGCTGAACACTGTGTATATATATATATAGTCAGGTCCATAAATATTGGGACATCGACACAATTCTAACATTTTTGGCTCTATACACCACCACAATGGATTTGAAATTAAATGAACAAGATGTGCTTTAACTACAGACTGTCAACTTTAATTTGAGGGTATTTACATCCAAATCAGGTGAACGGTGTAGGAATTACAACAGTTTGCATATGTGCCTCCCACTTGTTAAGGGACCAAAAGTAATGGGACAGAATAATAATCATAAATCAAACGTTCACTTTTTAATACTTGGTTGCAAATCCTTTGCAGTCAATTACAGCCTGAAGTCTTGAACGCATAGACATCACCAGGCGCTGGGTTTCATCCCTGTTGATGCTCTGCCAGGCCTCTACTGCAACTGTCTTCAGTTCCTGCTTGTTCTTGGGGCATTTTCCCTTCAGTTTTGTCTTCAGCAAGTGAAATGCATGCTCAATCGAATTCAGGTCAGGTGATTGACTTGGCCATTGCATAACATTCCACTTCTTTCCCTTAAAAAACTCTTTGGTTGCTTTTGCAGTATGTTTTGGGTCACTGTCCATCTGCACTGTGAATCGGCATCCAATGAGTTCTGAAGCATTTGGCTGAATATGAGCAGATAATATTGCCCGAGACACTTCAGAATTCATCCTGCTGCTTTTGTCAGCAGTCACATCATCAATAAATACAAGAGAACCAGTTCCATTGGCAGCCATACATGCCCACGCCATGACACTACCACCACCATGCTTCACTGATGAGGTGGTATGCTTAGGATCATGAGCAGTTCCTTTCCTTCTCCATACTCTTCTCTTCCCATCACTCTGGTACAAGTTGATCTTGGTCTCATCTGTCCATAGGATGTTGTTCCAGAACTGTGAAGGCTTTTTTAGATGTCGTTTGGCAAACTCTAATCTGGCCTTCCTGTTTTTGAGGCTCACCAATGGTTTACATCTTGTGGTGAACCCTCTGTATTCACTCTGGTGAAGTCTTCTCTTTTTCCCCCACTCTGATGCTCTGTTTGAACTCCAGTAAATCATCTTCATTACGTCTAGATGCCTAAATGCATTGAGTTGCTGCTATATGACTAGCTTATCATCAATTTGAGTTACCAAGCAATTGAACAGGTGTACCCAATAAAGTGGCCGGTGAGTGTGTGTATATATACAGTTGTGTTCAAAGGCAGCAAATGTTGTACATGCTGGTTACAGTGCATTTCTCTATGAAATTCTGAGGAAAATGGGCCGTTCCAGACATTGTTCAGAAGAACAGCGTACCTTGATTAAAAAGTTGATCAGAGAGGGGAAAATATATAAAGAAGTGCAGAAAATGATAGGCTGCTCAGCTAAAATGATCGCAAATGCTTTAAAATGGCAACCAAAACCTGAAAGACGTGGAAGAAAGCGAAAAACTGCCATTCAAATGGATAGAAGAATAGCCAAAATGGCAAGGACTCAGCCAACAATCAGCTCCAGGGAGATCAAAGAAGGTCTAAAGTTACCTGTGAGTACTGTTACAATTAGAAGACGCCTATGTGAAGCCAAGCTATCTGCAAGAAGCCCCCACAAAGTCCCACTGTTGAAAAAAAGACATGTGCTGAAGAGGTTACAATTTGCCAAAGAGCACACTGACTGGCCTAAAGAGAAATGGCTCAACATTTTGTGGACTGATGAAAGTAAGATTGTTCTTTTTGGGTCTAGTGGCCAGAGACAGTTTGTCAGATGACCCCCAAACACTGAATTCAAGCCACAGTATACTGTGAAGACAGTGAAGCATGGTTGCACAAGCATCAAGATATGGGGATGTTTCACATACTACAGTGTTGGGCCTATTTATCGCATACCAGGGATCATGGATCAGTTTGTATACATCAGAATACTTGAAGAGGTCATGCTGCCTTATGCTGAAGAGGAATGCCCTTGAAATGTTCCAACAAGACAACGACCCCAAACACACCAGTAAACGTGCAACATCTTGGTTCCAGACCAACAAGATTGACGTTATGGAGTGGCCAGCCCAATCCCCGGATCTTAATCCAACAGAAAACTTGTGAGGTGACATCAAAAATGCAGTTTCTGAGGCAAAACCAAGAAATAGAGAAGAACTGTAGAATGTAGTCATCCTGGGCTGCAATACCTGTTCACAGGTGCCAGAAGTTGGTTGACTCCATGCAACACCGATGTACAGCAGTTCTTAGAAACAGTGCTTATACAACTAAATATTAATTGATTCAAAGGAAAGCAAAATCTTCAAACATTTATCAGTTTATATAGTGAATGTTTGAGTTTGTAAAGAAGAATACAAACACTGCTATATTTTTTGAACAGTCTAATATTCATTTTTCATCAATTTTTTTAGAGGAACAACACACATTTGATATATGTTTCTTCATGTTTTGATTTGGAATAGAATGTGTAGTGTTCCCAATGCATTTGTGTGTATGGAAATAAAAGCTATTAGCTATTTTTTGAACAGTCTAATATTCATTTTTCATCAATTTTTTTAGAGGAACAACACACATTTGATATATGTTTCTTCATGTTTTGATTTGGAATAGAATGTGTAGTGTTCCCAATGCATTTGTGTGTATGGAAATAAAAGCTATTAGAAGGATTTTGAGCTTTATTTACTTGTTTCAACACACTGCTATTATTTTGAACACAACTGTGTGTGTGTGTATATATATATATATATATATATATATATATATATCTCGCAGGATTCAGTGAAATAGGCATAACTGTTCAAGATTTGGTAACCCGCCAGTAAACTATATTATCCTACATTCACAATCTATGTTACCTGTTTAAACAAGATCTTCAGCCTGTACATGGATTTGTGCTGGGCATTTTCAATGAAATTCTGCTGTTTGTGAGGATCAGTGACAATGAAGGTGTGCGAAACCTATAGATAAACACACTACTAAAATTTGTGCGTGGTCTTAAAATAAATCTGTGCTGTGGCACTGAATACTTCACAAGAAGTAGCTTCAACATTTATCCAGGAACAAGAATTATGGGGAAATGGTTCTAAGGTATATAATGGCTCACTAAATAAACCAAGCAAACACATTAAACTAAGAGCATGCTTGTCATACAGTATACATCACACACCCAACTGCGCCTGTTTAAAGACCTAGTTTTCATCCATTTGGATTGGTGTAGAACAGATGTTGCTTTTGCCTGCAAGGTATAGTAGGGATAATGTTATTAATATTAAAGTACTGAGCTAGAATGACCTTACCGAACTTTCCCTTTTCTATATATACAGTATATATAAAATTAAAAAAAAATCCTATTTTATCAAATACAGCAATAATATATATATATATATATATATATATATATATATATATATATATATATATACACACATACATATATATATATATATATATATATATATATATATATATATATAAAAAATTATAAAATCTGAAGCCAAAATTTATAAAGCAGTTCATATCACGTGCAACTTCGTTGTATATAGATAAATCAATATTCAGTACCACATAAATTCTCTTATTTTTATTCATTGTAATAGTTCATCATGTGCACATGTGCTAATAATCCATATAAAGTGTCCAGTGCATACATATATTTCAGGAACACAGATTAAAGTGGAGGTTGCTGCACATAGTTCCATCACAGAGATTTTTTTGTTTGATAGAAAATTCTATTGAAGAGTGATGTGAAATATATTTATGCACTGGACACTTTATACGGATTATTAGCATGAATGCACATGATGGACTATAACACTGAACAAGAACAAGAGAATTTATGTGGTACTTAATATTGATTTATTTATTTACAGTGGAATTGCACATGATGTAAACTGGATTATCAATTTTGCTTTAAGCTTTTATAATTATTAGAGCTGTTTATTTATATATTTTATTATTGCAGTATTTTGCACAGTATTTGATAAGAGGATATTTATGTTAATACCACATATATAGAAAAGGTGCAGTTTAGAATGGTCATTTTAGCATTGTACTTTTATAATAATATTTTTATAAATACCAGTAGCTATTTTAACACAGCAGATGGGATAGGAGGTGTTTCCCTCAATTTGGGTTTTTCCATTTAATGGAGCAGAGCTTATGACTGCCCAGAAGCTAGACAGCATATACCGTAGTGTTTTATTTTCTTATAGAACTCCAATAATGAATGT